ACTTTATTTAGTACTTTTGCCATAGTCGTGTTTACTTTATTTGATACTTTGTTCACAGCCATGTTAATCTTGCTTTGATACTTTGTTCATACTTTTGTCTGCCTTGTTTGAACTTTGACTGGTCATCCACTCCTTTTGAGTGTGTTTTTTGTTCATTAAACCCTTTTTAACCTCCCCTCCCTGAGACCCACCCCCCCACAGCCCCTATGGGAGCGTTTCCCTGCCGGGTACTGGGCCTCTGTTCAGCTCAGCCTTCCTCACAGACCTTCTGGACTCCTGGAGCCGGCGTTCTGCTGCCCGTCTCACAGTGTTTCTGAAGGAGGCCTCTGAAATCCGACCAGGGATCTGCGGGGTCCAGCAGCCAGCCCGAAACCTGCGGGTCGTGGATCCGAACGCTGGCCACTGTACACAGAAGCTCTTTAAGATGGTTTGAACAAAAGATCAGGAGAATATCTGCCTGATTTTAGAGCTAAAGAAGCTCTGAACCGGACAAAATGCTCCAACATGAATCTGACTTTTCACCAGTGCATCCTGTATGTGTTTAACTCTGTTTTAGATACTGTAGGAAACGCGTCAGGTCAGTTGTTTTTAAATTGATATTAGGAGAAAAAGTGCAAGGTTGCTCAACTGTGTGGATGTAAATATAAATAAGAGAATGAAGATGAATAGTTTTATCTATTTTTGGCTCATGATTTTCTGCATGATTCCTTCATCTGTTCTGTATTCTATCTCAAAAAGTCAGAAAATTGAGATAAAATTAAATTTTGGGGGGTTTGTTTTTAGGTTTTTTACTCTTAAAAGTTTGAAAAAATAGAGCAGGAAGCTAAAATCAGATAAATATTAAAAAAATAACAAGGAGAGGCCATAGGAGAAGCTGTAAGAGGTGTGTCAACAAAAATAAATACCATCTTATCAACACCAAGGTTCTACAATTAATGTGTAATGTAGGTTTCCTTGGATTTGCAGTTAAATATCGACTAATACTGACGGTTTGGAGGCAGATGCACATAAATAATGGTGTCTGTGAGTCTTGCCGTGGTTCCAGTCGAGGTTTTGTCTGTCAAACTGCAGAGCTGTGCGCAGGAAGTCCTTGGCTTTGTAGCAAACCACCGGCTGGGATCTTGATAATATCCGCAGGAGCATTTCTCTGAGGGCCATAGAGAGAAAAATCTGCTATTTACCACCAGCTAGTTCCTCCAAAGAGTCTGATTCTCCAATTCTCCTCCACCCAGACCAGAGATGTTCAGTAACCAAGTAGAACTACTTTAAGTACTGTACTTAAGTACCAAAATACAGTATCTGTACTTTATTGGAGTAGATATTTTTTCCTCTACTTTTACTTTTACTCCACTACATATTTTTTTATTAATTCAATACTTTTACTCTGATCGATTTTTCACAGGCTGAATCGTTACTCGTTACTGATATGTAAACGTAATGATAGATAGATCTGTCCTGGTTTGTGAAGCTGGCTCCTCATTGGCAATCAAGCATAGCCTACAAAATAGCCTCCCGAAACACTTTTTAATTATGGCCTTCAAAAATTCGCCATCTAATCTGAAGAAGCATATCAAGGTAAATTAAAAAATACAATGAAATATAAGCTAGTTAATAAGCACTAGTTCAGTTCTTCCTGTTCACTCAGGACGTAGCAGCTAACGCTAGCTAAAGCTAACCTAGCTGGCTAGCTGTATGATAACGTTAGGTAAAGCTAACCGAGCTGGCTAGCTGTATGCTACATGCTAGCATAAAGGCTTATGATTCTGACTCTGGAATAATGAATAATAGCAGATGAAGTGCTGTTGATTGGTAATGCAGATGTTGTTTTCTGTTTTTTATAAAAACCTGTACGGCCTTTCACACGTTTGAAATAATATAAACAATACCTATCAGACTTTTGACTGCCTTTTTTTAATATACACAGTACTTTTACTTATACTTGTAATTTCAATACTTGAGTAGCAATTTTTGAAACACTTCTACTTGCAATACTTAAGTACAAAAAAATATGGAGTACTTCCGTACTTCCACTGAAGTATGGAGTTAAAAGAACACTTCAGCTTTTACTCAAGTAAATTTGTTTATATAGTACTTGTACTTCTACTCCACTCCTCTACTCCAGTACTTTATCCATCTCTGACCCAGACGGACCTTGTGAAGAGCTCCTGGGTGTGGTGCGCCGGTTGTTGTGCCCACAGAGGTGTGTGCTCCAGTTTTAGGTGGATCAGATCATCGTTTGGCCCCAGCGAGTCCTCAGGAGGATCGCAGGGAGCCTCGCTCTTCATCAGCACCAGGAGGCCACAGACCGGAGGGGGGGGCTTCTGTCCCGGCGTTCAGAGACAAAACGGGGACACGTGTTTATGTTCATGCATTTGGCAGACGCTTTTATCCAAAGCGACTTACAGAGTAGACACAATATTACATTTATCAATCACTATGACGATGAGCTATACAGAGGAGAAACACTGATCAGAGTCAGTGGTGAGATGGAGATAGAGGTAGAGGGACTACAGAAGGAGTTGTGGGGGGTAGAGGTACGGGTTAGGGTTAGGATAGGAGCTGTTGGGGGGTAGAGGTACGGGTTAGGGTTAGGATAGGAGCTGTGGGGGGTAGAGGTACGGGTTAGGGTTAGGATAGGAGCTGTGGGGGGTAGAGGTACGGGTTAGGGTTAGGATAGGAGATGCTCTTTGAAGAGGGGGGTCTTCAAGAGTTTTTTGAAGACAGACAGGGACTCTGCCGTTCTGGATCATTTGTAAAGGTTCCAGAACGTAAACAGACTGTCGGAAAAACGGGCGGGACGGGGACGGCCCCCACCCCGTGAGAGGTTTTTTGTACTAATTCACCATCGTCGATGAGGTAAAAACGTCCTTTTTTTAATTTAAAACTGTAACTCTGACGACAGATCTCTACTAGGCTGGTTCAGATATCGGATCGGCTGCCGATATTTGCAAAAAAATGTGTATCCGCCGGCAGGAGAAAATCCAGATAGAGACTCTCCAGATCCAATTTTGTTTTAAAGTCCGATCCCACATTAGCATTAGCATCTCCTAACCCACAGGTCTGTGTCCTAACCATTAAGTTTTTATCAGATCAAATCCCTGTTCAACATGAGTCTGACAACTAAGTAAGTAGATAAATAACTTTAAACTTTAACACATGCTCCGATAGGCCGGGATCGAATCGGAAGTGAAAAAAGCTGGATCGGGAAAATCCCTAGTCACAGGACATAGGGCAGGTAATAGCTTTTTGGCTATGAGCAGAACATGGCCGCCATCTTGGATCAACGGCAAGTCTTTCCAATGGGAAACATCAGAGAAATCAATAGCTGGAATCAGATTTGAAATATTTTCTGTGCTTCAAAAGACGAAACATCTGGGATCGGTATCGGATCCCTAATCTCTACATTGGACTTATGTCTGTGTTTCCTTAATGTAGCTTTCCACCTTTAATAGAGTCAAGCCCAGAGTCTGGGAGCTTTCCCTACCTGTTCTGGGTCCAGTTGGGTAGTCCCGTCTTGGTAAACCATCGTGAGCGCCACCATCTGGGCCTCGCCAGCCTTCTCCAGCATCTGAGTCCTCTCTTCTGGGAGCAGCTTCCCGGGGTCTTTCACTCTCCTATCAAACACCTGCGGAGTCTCACCAGACTGGAACGAGGACCCGGGCCCAGTTTTTGCCCGTTTGCGTGGTTTAACCAACGGAGTCTCATCGCTCGTTTCCTCCACTTTGCTCGGCCAAACTTGTAGATCTGGCCTCGGAGGATCTGAGTTGCTGATTCCAGGCGGTTCTGAGAGCCCTTCGGATTTTGCTGCTGGTTCGGGGGTCAAAGTTGGGGGTTCAGACGGAGCAGGACCGGTTTGGTGGACTTCAGGACGAGGCTTCTTGTTCGGGAGCTGAAAGGCGTCGCGTTTACGCTTTCGGGGGGGTTCGCGCGACTGGCACCAGGCGAGATACAGGTTTCGGATTTCCGGATTTTCAGGTTTTGCTGAAGCTGATGGGTCCACCCTGCTGGATTCAGCCCCTCCAGACGGGCCCTGCATCACAGGAAGGAACCAAGAAAACAGTCAAAGCAGAAAAAAACGGACTTTTGAAAGCGGCTGGAAATTGGCTGATAGTTAAAAATGACGAGTTTGAGCTTTTAACTCATTGGCTGCCAAAGACGTCTATAGACGTCTTTTATGTTTTTCAACGAGAGTGGCTGGGGGACGATCTGCTAAAGCTTGTCCGTAAATATCGGCTTCTAGACAGAGTATGTAGTAACAAATTGACCCTCTAGGTGGCAGTGCCACTTTTAATGGGAGATGAGCATAGACTGTAGGCAAATAAGAAAAAGGTAACGGTTCGCTATGAGAGAACATGTCGCCGGTGAGAAGCAAGTCCAGGAAGAACGGAATAAGGTAGAAACAACATTTTTTTCCTGATGAAAGAAGAGAGTCTACTCTTTCTTTTGGCGTGTTCGGTGTTTACATAGTCATAGCACAAACTATTCTGTGGCTCTTGAAAAATCTGTCAAAATGCTCAAAAAACTCTGGCAGTATGGGACTCTCTGTTCTGAAAATGGCTGGCAGTCAATGAGTTAAGAGAAAAAGAAATACATACTTTTGCTAGTTGTTGCCATGCATGCTTCAAATAATCTGATTTATGCAGAATTTCTGAGAGGCAAAGTTAGCCCTATAATGCCAAATGTATCACATCTGATTCATACGGTTTCTGAAGTCTTTTGGATCTGAGACTTTTTGCATCATTCAGTGGTAAAAGCTTTGCTCAAACCCCTGTTGTACACATTCAGATATACCTGATAACAGCCAGTAGAAGACTACACGGAAATATATTTTTGACTTATTACACGTTAATTTGATCAAAATAATTTCAGTTTTTTTTCTTTATATGTTGTTGAGGGGCCAAAGAAAGACTTCAGACTAAAAAAATCCAATATTCTTGCTATTTTTCTTGGATCAGGCTTTAAAGGGTTAAAGGGAGGATCAGGAGTGGGGGGTTGAAAAATGGGGCTGGACTTCACTGTATTGCTGCAATCAGCAGCAACTTTTCTCTCCTCCTTCTCACACTTTCCTGAGCTCAGCCCCGGCCTGCCTCGGGTTTTCTATCTTTATCCTGTAACAGAGACCCCTGGAGGCTCAGGACTTTGTCAGCAGGAAAACGGGTTGTTTACAGGGAAACGAGGAGCCGAATCTCAGGGACTCCTGTTTTACAGAACCCACAAGAACCCACAAGACTTTTAGCACTGAATGATGCAAAAAGTCTCAGATCCAAAAGACCTCAGAAACCGTATATATCAAATATGACACATTTAGCATTATAGGGTTAATCTCCCTCCCTTGTAGTTCACTGGTTTCTGAGCTTCCAGCTTCTTTTCCTTTTACATTTCCCTGATTAATTTGATCCGTTCAAATTTCAGCACCGGAGAACAGCGAGTCTCCAGAAAGCGAGATTACCGAGAAACAGGAGACAGATCCGAATAAACAAATAAATAAATAAATAAACTGACGCGTCAGTGCGGCTGCACTGAGGAGTCAGCAGCTCGGAAGTGAACTCAGCAAGGACGCCTTTGGAAGTGTCAGAACGGATTCATCCCGATCCGGTCCTGCTGACATTATAAACTCCTGACGAAGGCGGAGCGGTTCAGACTTAAAACTTAAAAAACACATCTGTTCAGAATGGCGTTTTGCACTTAAAGGGGACATATTATGCAAAACCAAGTTTTTAATCATTTGATTGTGTACATTTGGGACTGTGGAGGGCCTATCAGCAGGCAAAGTGTGAAAAAAATGACTCAGTCATGTTTTTGTGGGCCGCCTCAGTCTGAATCCAGGAGATAAATCAGTAGGTTTCAGGAGTGGGTAGTTTCTGACGTTAGCTCTAGCTCATTATAATATTCCAGCCTTTCACCTGCATGTTGCCCCCCACCTCAGCTTACTCCCCTATCTGTGGAGACGTCGTGGTAGTGTGAGCGTTAGCATGGTAGCGTTAGCATGCTAGCGTTAGCATTGTAGCGTTAGCGTGCCAACGTGGGCACACCTCCCTGAAGAAGTGGGTGGATTGCCTGTGTCTCATTTGCATTTAAAGAGACAGGCACTCCAAAGCGAGCGCTCTGAACGGGTCTGTTTTGGGTTAGGGTTAGGGTTAGGGTTAGGGTTAGGCAGGGGGACTGAACTGCTATTGGGCTTCATCCTTATGGGATTTTGACCAAAGCTTGTCACTGACATTACATTAGGACACCAGGGAACTAGCTTAACCTGTTGAAATAGCGTATAATATGTCTCCTTTAAAATCACTGTAAACTGTGTGCTTTCACCCATGCACTTGTCTTTGTACATTTTGATAGTTTGATCTGTTTTAATTACTGTAAAGCACTTTGCTCAGCTCTGGTTGTTGTGTACAGTCACTGTGTTTGGTGTAAAAGCCTAACTGGGGACAGGCATTGAGAATTAGCCTTAGCTAAAATGTTGTAGTGTGTGACATGTTTCATGAAACACACTTGTCCCTATCAAATAAACGAAAAAATCAAAAATAAAATAAAGGGCTATATAAATAAACATTGATTGATTGATTGATTGATTGATTGATTATTCACCTCTGCTCCAGTGGGACTTGCTTGCCGGTTGCCACGGGGACGGGGGGGTCTGAACCCCGGCGGTTTGGCCCCGGGCCTCCGGGACGCCCCCCCAGAGGGACCCCGCTCTGCCTCTGCAAAAGGGGGGAGGAGGGAGCAGTGATTTTCACCTGGTCATCACTTTTCATGTGACTCAGCGTGCACGTGTGTTAACCCGATTCTTTAGTTGGAAACCTGAGAATAAACCAGAGTCGATCAAGAGTAAAAATTTACATTTATTGGGTCACAGGTAAAGTATTTCAGCGCTGGGCTCTTCACAGACAAAAACCTCTCTCTCTGGGTCTCAGTGGGCAAAGAACCCTGAGATCTGGGGGTGATGGGTCTTTGTCTCCTAAACTGGGCACACCTCTCAAAAGGAGGACTGGACACAACCAAGTCCTATTGGTTAGTTATCTCTAAGAATAACAAGCCGGGCCCTAATTCATGTAGATGACATTGGAATGTGGTACCAAATAATGTGTGTGTGTGTTGACTTAAAGACGTGGATCTAATGCAACAGAGAAAGAAAAAGAGAGCAAAGAGAATACGTGGTTACAGCCAGAGACTTCATATAGTTATAAAAGAAATAAAACAATCAGTAATCTACATAGATCATGTGATAGCACACTATGCTAAAGTGAGTGTTTATAACCAAATCCTAACACGTGCACGTTCACGTGCACGCGCACGGGCCGAGTCCGTGTTGATCGGCGCAAAGTGACGGGATCGGGTCAGACGGCGAGTGATGTAACTGGTGTTTTTGTTTTTGAGGCTTTTCTGTGACTCAGCTCTGTGTCTCTGCTGCTTCCAGCTGCTGGAAAGTGAGCAAAAGCAACAACCAAAGACTCCCTACCATCACCGCCCATCTCAGGTGTGTCGGCGCCCCCTGCTGGGCGACCTGTTTACATCCTAATAGCACTCCCAAAGCGGAAAAGGTCTGACTCCACTCATGTCTGACCAGAGATGTAGAGAGTACTGGAGTAGAAGTACAAGTACTATATAAAAATATTGGCTTGAGTAAAAGTTGAAGTGTTGTTTCAACTCCATACATAGAACGAATTGAAGCTGAGAAATGACTATTTAAGTCCTTCATTAAAGTCAACACAGATTTAGTTAAATGCAGTTTAAGAGACGCTTGACAGAGATGTATAAAGTACTGGAGTAGAGGAGTGGAGTAGAAGGACAAGTACTATATCAAAAAATTGACTTGAGTAAAAGTTGAAGTATTCTTTCAACTCCATACTTAAGTGGAAGTACGGAAGTACTCCATTTTTTTGTTTACTTAAGTATTGAAAGTAGAAGTATTTCAAAAATTGCTCTGTGTCTCTGTGTGTCCCTGTGATGGACTGGGGACCGTCCAGGGTGACCCCGCCTCTCCCCATTGGCTACTGGGATAGGCTCCGCCCCCCCATGACCCCATTAAGGAATAAGAGGTTACGAAAATGGATAGACTCGTTAAAAGATGTGGTGAAATCGATGAGAAATACTGTGTATTTCTAAATAAAAACACACTACGCACTCACCGGTGGACCGACTGTGCTGTTCACGGCCCCAAGGGGGCAGTAAAGGCAGCTCTCTCTCCTCTCCCTTCCCGCCAGACTTTGGATCTTCGATCTTCTCCTCTGTTGTCTTCTCTAGCAGGATCTCAGAGCATGTTATTTTATCCACCCTACAGGCAGCCTGTTCCCCGGTTCCTGCCCTGGACCTGGTCTCAGTCTCCCCCCTGACCTCCTTCAGACCGGCTCCGTCCGGGTCTGGAGCTCCGTGGGCCTCCAGGGGGAAGAAGAAGAAGAAGAAGAAGAAGAAGAAGAAGAAGAAGAAGAAGACTTTATTGATCTCACCAATGGAGAAATTCAGTACAGCCCGTACTAAGATAAAACAAACAAAAACACATAGACACACTAGTTCGGGAAGACCGTAGTCAAGTACATATCCAACTCCGCCCACATCCAAGTCGGCCATTTTGATTAGGTCACCAATAGGAAGATCCCAGGTAAGAAAAGCCTAATTGCTTCATGGCAATATAGACATTAATTTAAGAATAGTTAAACGAATCTTTCAAACACTTAATTAAACTCTATACATATTATGTTAAAATAGTGTATATTAAATCGGTTTGTACAATAAGTCCAAATAAATTTAACCAAAATATATTTATTTCTCACAATTATGAAGGCTGGAGGGTTAGGGTCAGGGTTATTAATGTGGGCCACCAGTCATGATAACATCAGTAACAGGTCAGTTTGAAATTAAAGACACAATTCAGTTAAATTTTGGGGTCTTTGTTTTTATCCTTGTGGTAAAGATACAGTCAAATCACAACATCAAGGATTCACCTCTGTGTGGACCCCGGTTCTCTGGACTGTTTCAGGCTCCAGTTGCTGGTTCTCCTCCATTCCATCTCCAGCAGGGATGGACGGAGGCTGTTTCTGGGCTGAAGCCTCTCCCAGCTCCCTCCTGGAGATGTCCCAATCCGTCTGCTCACTTATTTGAGGGTAAGAGGAGGCCGACACCCTCCTCTCATCGGGGACTTCCTCATCCAAGGGTTCTCCGGTGAAAGACGGCCTCCTTCTACCGGCAGAACGTTCGAAAAAGAAGGAAATGTTTTTATGTTGGAGAAAATGTGGAGCTGATAATGCTAATCAGACGTTTTTTACTGGGGGTTATTTTGTTTTATTGTGAAGGGGTTATTTTATTTTGTTTTATTTTATTGTATTATATCTTTGTGCTTCACTACTTGACTTGTTTTACTGTAGTTATACCACTTTTTTTTATTTGTGAAGTCTATATCTCTTTTGAATGACAACAAACTTTTGTATGAACAACTTGTCTTACTGGCTTTTACAAGCCCATCTTGTAACATCTTATAACTGTGCTCTGTTTTTTGTTTATGTAAAATTCAACTAAAAATATCTTGAGTTAAAAAAAAAACACTCAAGTTACAAAAAAAAAAAAAAGTGTAAAAATACACATGTACATTACGTACCACACTTATTTCGAAAAAATAATAACAAATTTGTAAAAAAATAAAAAATAAAAAAGGGAAATGTTTTACGTTTTATCTATCTCCCCCCCACATCTCTATCTCACCACTGACTCTGATCAGTGTTTCTCCTCTATATAGCTTATTGTCATATTGATGAGAAATGGAATATTGTGTCTACTCTGTAAGTCGCTTTGGATAAAAGCGTCTGCCAAATGCATAAACATAAACATAAACATAAACATAAACAAACATCTACACATTGAGCCCAACAGCAGTGGGGTTTTTCTTTGCCTCTTACTTTCTCCAGGACGTTTCTTTAGGCTCATCGGGTCCTTTTGTGTGGATTGAGAGGTCGAACCCGTCTCCATTACTGAACTCAGCCTCTGTTTCGGGGGTCTGACCGAACCAGGGGGCCGGATCTGTCTGATAATAGGTCTGAGGAGTCGGTTTTTGGAGGGCCGACCCCCAACAGGACGGTTGGGAGCTCTCTGGGGTCTGAGGAGTCGGCCTTTCATTGGACGGGTAACGATCAGAGGGGGAAAAGGGGAACACCTGGGGCCTGGACCTGAGCAGGAGGAAAAAAGTGCTAATTTCATACAGAAAATATGAGAATGTTCCTATTATATTAGATAAAGAGTTAATCCAGTGTTTTTCAACCACTAGTGTGCCGTGAGTGATGGTCAGGTGTGCCGTAGAAAATCATCCTATTTCACCTAATTGTTCTAAAAATATTTTTGATGAGGAATTAATCATCTGCAAATAATACGCCGTTTTTGAGTGTCTGTGCTGTTCTAGTGACTGGTGGCATAATCATGTAATAATTCCTTATGACTAGATTTTGGATACAATTTTATATATTGAAGTGGACAAGTTAAGAGCAATTTGAAAGAAGAAATAAAAGATATGATAAAAATACATTTTTGTTTATTTGATTGCTATTCAAGACACTTAAGATAAGATAATAAAATAATAACTATAGTGTTACTATAGGCGGCTACAGATTTGTTTGACATTTTTGGTTGGTGGTGTGCCTCGAGATTTTTTCAATGAACAATTGTACCTTGGCTCAAAAATGGTTGAAAAACACTGAGTTAATCCCTCCTGAGTAGGCTTGTCAAAAGTATCGATACTCAAAAAAGTATAGATACTAAAACGTCGTATCCGGATACGATACTCATTGTCAAGAGTATCGAAACCACGCCCCCCCCCTTCTCTCTGATTTATGTATTTATTTACGTTGTTTATGATCATTAACGTGACGTTAGCCTTAAATTGCTAGCTGCGGCTAATGGCTAATAATAATAACACGCCAACATTAATCAAGTCCGTCTGGCTGCAGACTGCAGGAAGCCAAGGATGGAGATCTAACCCCCCCACATCCAAGTCGGCCATTTTTATTAGGTCACCAATAGGAAGATCCCAGGCAAGAAAATCCTAATTGCTTCATGGCAATATAGACATTAATTTAAAAATAGTGAAATGAGTCTTGCAAACACTGAATTAAACTCTACACATAATATTATGTTAAAATAGTGGATGTTAAATAGGTTTGTACAATAAGTCCAAACAAGTTTAATTAAAAAATATTTATTTCTCACAATTATGAAGGCTGGAGGGTTAGGGATAGGGTCAGGGTCATTAATGTGGGCCACAATAACATCATTAATTGGTAAGTTTGAAACAAAAGACACTAACCTGTCAAAATTCAGTTAAATTTTTGGGTCTTTGTTTTTATCCTTGTGGTATCGAAAATGGTATCGAGTATTTTCCTGAGTATCGGTATCGAGTTGAAAATTTTAGTATCGTGACAACCCTACTCTTGAGATAAAACCCTCTTTTATATTGACAGACTGTGTCAAACTACTGCTAGTTAGGAGGCTTTTTATAAAACTTAAACTAAACTAAATTTTTTTATAAATCCTCAACCGGATCTAATGACGCCCATCCAAAAACATGCATTATGTAAACACAATTACACGGACAAAAAGAGGTTTTTCTGTTTGTTTTCCAGCTTGTTGGATGTAAACACAGAGAATCCCTTGCTTTGATGATCCTCGAATTTAAGTACGACTCCGGGGGATTTCCTCCTAAATGCGGCTTTTATTTTTACTGTCAAATGGACACCAGTGGATGAGAAAAACTGACAGAGAATTGGATTTTACCTCGAGAAAGACCCACAGTCCTGCATGTTTTAGCTGTTTCTCTGCTTCAACACTCTTTATCTAGATTGAATAGATCTCTTTTAAAGATTACGTTCTTTAAAAGTACGCCAATTGTGCATTGAGCAGTGCAAATCTGTTTTAAATATCTTTATTTCTACTATTATTTCACATACATCCCCGAGTCAGAAATCCCACAAACCGGTCTTTGCAACCTCTGATCTAAAGGTCCTTCTATTTACTGTCAATAATTAATGAGGAATGTCAAAATTAACCTGGCGTGCCCTCGTGGAACAATATTGCTTTAATGCTTTGAGCAAATATTTGCATTGACCACGTCCAAACGGTTTCTTTTATCTTCCCAAAATGCTGAATCATTGTGACTTACTGGGCGTGACTTACTGTTCTAATAACGTCTAACAGCATTCATACTTTATGCCAAGTCAGGAACAGGTAAACCACATGTCAGAATCATAAAGGGAAAGGGGATTTGCAGGGAGTGGGCAAACCCAGATTTCTTTTGTATTCACCGTGTGATTATGATCGTGTTTTTATAAGTCAGTCGTCTAACTCAGTGATTCTCAAATGGGGGTACGCGTACCCCTGGGGGTACGTGGAGGTACTGCAGGGGGTACGTGAAGCTTTTCAAAATATATTTTAAAAATCAGTAGGCTCCTCATAATAAGTCTTGGGAGAAATCATTCTGTAAAAAGTTCGATAGAATATAAATGTGTGTTCATGCACTGCATTTTATATTCAGTATTTAGTTTCAATATCCTTTAAAATAAAACAGACCCCCCACCAAATTAGTTTGACCCACGGACCCAGCGCACTTGTCAACGACCTGTCGTTACCATGGTTACGTTTGGCTTTAATAAATAAGACATTGATTTTACAGCATTGTACCTCTTTTTTCTTCCAAAAATGTTTTGCCTGTGTCAGGGGGTACTTGACTAAAAATATATTTTTAAGGGGGTACAT